AGCCTGAAGAATGCGCAAATGGTCATTTAGATCACTAGGTTTAAATCTTTTTGTCTGGAATAGCCTGTATAGGCGTCTATTCTTGCCTCTTTTTTCACACAAAGGTGAAGAGGAGGCATATTCAACAGTGCCTCCAAGGCTGCGATGGGGCAGGTTGTCATAGCCCCTGTTATTCCTATAAACAAATTAGCTTTTGTAGTTTACGTAAAATGTTTTGTGCAGTAATTTGCTCTGTGTTTGAGCTGTCAACTACTTAAGTAAATACCACTCTGTACATCAATTTTACTAAAGTGTGTCGACGAGTCAGCATCAATTTGGTATAAATTATTGGGAAATGGACTAAGAAATAAAAGAACTTGTTAAATATTATCGATATTCAATATATTTATTCTGTCGAACACAGCGTGGAAAGCAGAGCGTGTGAACTCATAGAAATAACTAGACGAACTGACTCAACATCAAGACAAAGAATTACAAACCCTTTCTTAAGTAAACGATTCCTCATCTGTTGACCTTACATATAAAAACTATTATAAACACATTCAGTCATCCATAGCGGCGATATAAATTAGCAAAGTATAGGCTAATGCCTAATAATCAAAGTTTAATTTAATAATTTTTGTTTTACTGATTACTGATATGAATATCAGTTTATCCAACACGCCACCTCAAAAATTTGATCAATTATACTAAAAGTGTAATATAACTTAAAACTAGTATAACATATAAATAGGCCCGCTTTCCTTATGTGTCTTTTCTGGGGAAAATTACAATAACGGTCCAGCATTTGCTGCTCGGGATTAGGGAAAACCCAGAAAAACCTAATCAAACCATTTAACTTATTTACTAAGCCTAATTCCATTCTAATTTCTCAAATTTCACTTGCATCAATGGTTTGGTAAACATGTCTGCTAGTGGTTTCTCTGTGGACAAATTAATATTTTATATTAATTACGATCAATTCAATATGATTTGATCTTTTGTGATTTGTTGGATTATTTGTAATACTTATTGAGGTCCATTGTTGTCCTCCTAGGTCATAATTGACTCTGATATTAATGTTTATGCATATTTTCTGCTAATGATTTTAACCAAAGAGCCTCTTCAAAAAGAAAAACCATATATTCGGCTTCAGTAGATGATGCCGTTGCTGGCAACTGCCTTTTTCTATCCCAACATATCACACAAATTTCAAACAGTTTAAATGAATATTCTGATGTGCTTTTTATATTGTTTATATTATCATCTCCACCATCCTTGTCAGGATTAATAGAATCACTCAAGAAATTGATACATTCACAAGTAAAATATTGTATCAACTTCACATTGATTTTACCCTTAAGATATCTAACGACCCTTTTCAAATATTGCTAAAGCTCTTTATTATTTTTTTAATACCTGTTCAAAATATTAACAGCGCTACTTAAATCAGGCTTGATATACATAACATAATATACATTAAACAGACGATTAGATTACGGCAAGGGCTATCATGTTTTTCTTCCGAATTTAAACAAATCAAATTCAGTTTACTAGGAAGTGGAGTGCTGACACAGCTGATGGCACAACAGTCATTCATATTAAATTTATGTAAAATAATTTTCATGTACATTTGAACTATACCTATATAAAAATTGATCTAGAGTTATTTTATTTTTGATTACCTTTTAATTTTATTACACAAAAATAGTTTACTGGCTTTCAACATAAAACAGTTTTTTGCCAAATACCTTTTGAAACTATTCAATGTATTATTATCTGCAGTGGCAAATACCAACTTACAGAACTACATAAATAATTTTACATATTGCACCTTTGTCTAAGATATAAATACAGTGGTTAACTGATGAATTTTCAAACCCATTTTCTTTATGAACTTTTACTATTATTTCAAACTAACATCTAATGGTTTGTTTTAGTTCATAGATACAAAGCCTTGCAAACTTGGTTAGGAGGTTTACTTGTCACACCTTGAGCCAGCCACCCTTCAGCCTTCAGGAACCTTCATAAAAATGGCTTCCTTCAATGGCAAAGCTGTTTTTACATCCATATGATGTATTACAAGGGTAAACTGATTAAAAAGGTTATTATAAACCAGAAACCTACGATTCTCGCCACCTGTGCAAAGGTTTCATTATAATCTACCAAGTAATGTTGACTAAAACCACGAGCAACTGAGTAAGCTTTGTATCTAAATGGTTTTCCAATTTCATCATTTTCAATGGAAAATATCCATTTACAATCCAATATATTTTCATATTCGGGTCTTGATACTAACGACCACCTTTTATTTACCAATAATGAGTGAATCAATATCATTTGACAGATCTGTTTTAATCACCTACTTTCCTGGATCGTTACTCATCTGATTTAGCTATATCAGATTTATTAACCAAACCACCGATCTTGACAAACTGCCACTTTCAGGGGAAAAGTTTTAATAGACTATCGAAGATGCTGACCCTTTGTTTGCTTGTCAAAGTCACGTGTTTTGGATAGGCTAATTACCAAAGTGTTACATTCATTTTTGACACTTTTTCAGTTCAGTTCAGTTCAGTTTATTAATAACTACTGATCTTGACAAACAATCAGAGGAAACAGCTTTATCATCAAAGTGTTTTACATTCACTTTTTCATAATCACTATTAACTACTAATATTGACTTACCCTAAACCCTGATTGAAAATCACTGAATAGTTTATTTCTATCTAACTATGAACTCAACAAGTTGCATATACACCATTTTCTCCAAAATTTTGTCAATAGTGCAAAACAAATTTATTGGATGCAATTCACTGGCGGATTTTAATTTAACTACTTTGGAAATCGTGATTATAGTGGAAACTGAATGAATATCATTTGGCAGATTTGTTTTAACCATAGATTTATTATAATCATTCATTATATAGTTTGATAAGTTTGTGGGTTAACAAACAGTTAGCTACGTTCTTGGATTGGTTGGTCATCTGATTTTGCTTTATCAGATTTATTAACCAGCAATCTTGGCAAACTGTCAAAGGAATCAGTTTCATCACCAAAGTGTTATGCATTCACTTTTTCAAACTTATCATTTACTAACCACTGATATTGACAAACAGTCAGAAAAATTGGCTCTATGACCAGAAAAGTTAAACATTTACTTTTCAAGCTTATTAGTAACTACTGATCTTGACAAAAAGTCGGAGAAATCAGCTTTTACAATTAAAGTGTTCTATATTCACTTTTTCAAGTTTGTTAGTAATTACTGATCTTGACAAATAGTCAGAGGAATCAGGTGTATTTCAGAATTTCAGAAATGAACATGTTCAAATTTAAAAAAAAATACCGGGGGGGCTAGGAGAGATTCTTGGGAGCTCTGTAGGTCTCTCCTGGTAATGGAGCAAAACTCGCCGTTAGTGGAGCAAAATGGAACAAAACTCGGAGAACAAAATGAGCATGATCAAATTTCAGAATTTTCACTAGGGGGGGGGGGGGGGGGGCTGGTAGAGATTCTTGGGAGCTCTGTAGGTCTCTCCGGGTAATGGAGCAAAACTCGCCGATGGTGGAGCAAAATGGAGCACAACTCGGAGAACAAAATGAGCATGATCAAATTTCTGAATTTTCACTGGGGGGGGGCTAGCGTTAATTCAGTCCCCCCCCCCCCACCTAATGGGCCACATAGTCTCTCCACTGTAATGGAGCAAAAATCGAAATTAGTGGAGCAAAATGGAGCAAAATTAGAGCAAAATTATGGGATAATTTTCATCCAGAAATTTTCTATGGGGGGGGGGCTAACTTAACTGACCCCTCTGTTGGGGCGGTCCTGCAGTTTTCCTAGTCTCCAGTAGATTTACCCTTTTTGAACGACTTTCTGTACCAAATTTTTACTTATTTATAAAAAACATTACCATACACGGCAGCTATTCATCGGTAGCATTGTTTTGATGTATAACCATTTTGGATTTTAAATTATTAAGCGGTGTACAAAATCAAATTAGACAAGTAAAACACTTTGACTTCTACTAAAGAGCCTCGTTGAACTAAAATTCAACTAAAGAAGCTTCAAAGTCTTACAAATGTCTCTCAGAGCCCAGAGCCGAAATTCAAACAAATAGGTATTCATGATAATTCTATTTCCAGCTCTACTAGTGGAACCTACATAAAATAAGAAAAATATAAAACTTTGAATAGATATATGTCATTCCTGAACCTTCTAGAACTGAAATTGGATAGAAAAAAAAAATAGAAGGGACAAGTAAAACCTCTATATTTGAAATTACAGTTTCTGAAATGGAAATTTGCATTGGCAAAATGATCAATTCAGTCTCAAATTGCTTAAAAATTTGACTATGTTTTTGAACAATTTTACAACTGTCTCATTTGCTACAATTTGTTCTCAAATTACCTTGATATTTGACGTCAGGTACCACCTCGTCCGACTCAAACAACCCGTGAACCAACTTGAAATCTAAGTCACTACTCAGTGGTTCGATTATTGTATCTTGAAACTCGCAAATATCAAACAGTTTGTTTTTTGGAGGTCCCGGAGAACCTCCCTCGATATCCGAATAATCCGAAAAATTTACGCTCAACGCTGTAGAACACGAAAAAATAAAAAACATTAACAAAACCAAAATTTTCATTGTAACCGGTTCGATTATCATAACAATTTTTTTTAGAATTTATTTTAACTGCGTTGTCGACGAGATTAATGAATATTTTTATCACAATTTACAAACACCAAAACAGCATTTAAAAAAAAAAACATTGTTAGCTAAAAACAACAAAAAGCGCTCAATAGTCGACGTCCGAAGCTGATCTGGGGACGCATAGCGGGCCGGAACAGCGACACACTGAAACTGAGCGTTTTTGGTGGAAGCCGAAGCTGAATTTTGCTGCTGGCGCAATAGCAGTGTAAATCGATTCAGAACAACCGTGAATGACACCTGAGTTTTTCGTTTCTATACACCAGCTTCATTTCATTTTTCTATGGTTTTATGCACTCAAGCCTTAATAATTAATAAATGTTGAGGCTCTAAATTGAATTAATTGTGATTGTGAATTTTGTAAGTTTTAGCCTTAAATTTAATATTACCACATTTCAAAATCCAAAATGGAAAGTTCCAACTCGTAAATCATCCTTAAATGTGAAAATCCTACCCCATTTTCCATGCAAAAACTTGCTCTATAAGAATAACACCTTGCCATTTGTCATTTCCAGATTTCCCTCTAGTAAGTTCATATTTCTTGTTGCCGCAAGCAAACTCCAAATCCAGATTTATATACCTACTAAAGAATTTAATGCCTGATGCAGTCTCTATATATGACTAGTATAATAAAACTTTACAACCGAGTTTTATTGAAGCTTAAAATAATAATTTTAAAGTTCATTGTTTCGTGTAATATTAATTTAATAAAAATCCATGTCCTACAAACCCCAACAAGGGTTTTTAACCCTCAATAATCGGGGATTGTATTGAGGCATGTCAGTTTCCAGGCGACGACCTTAATTTGACCACTTTTCATTTTGAAACCTCATTAAAATTTAAAAGAAAACCTGTTAACCTAAATTTTCCAATAATTGAAATATTAATCGAAGTGTGCAATTCAATCTATTAGAAACTGGGTTGGCATGGAAGTATTTAATCAATAATCATTATTGTAGAAATTTTTGGTACATAAAAATGGATGATAACGAAGAAGACGACATCCCAGGTAAATAAATCAACTATTAGCAAAATCAACCAACCAAAAACCAATTCTAGTTCCGATTAACAACGACTTGGAACGCCGGATAGCGGACGCTTTTGAAGTTTTCGATCACGCCGGCAACAAAAACGTGGACATCCGAGAAATCGGTACGATAATCCGTGGACTGGGTTGTTGTCCTACCGAAGCCGAAATCCAAGAAATCATCGTAGGTGTGGAAAATCCAGAAACTCCTGGCAGCGTGCACTTGTCCAAGTTTTTGCCTTACGTATCGCAGTTGATTACAGAACACAAGTATAGAATAATTAATTTGTTTTGTATGGATATTGCGATTTTTTATTGTAGGTATGAGCCTGCCAGTCCTGAAACTCTTCTGGAAGCTTTCCGGACTCTGGATCCTGAGCAGCATGGGTTTTTGACCAAAGATTACATTTCCACTTTGATGACGCAAGACGGTGAACCGTTTAACCAGGATGAGCTGGATGAAATGCTGGAAATCGCCATCGATCCTCATACTCATACTATACCTTATGAGTATTATATTAATCAACTCATGGTAAGCAATAATTCTTCACCAAATTTTAACTCCAAAGCCCGTTGTACCTACCTCATCCCGAAATAGACTTTTCCAATACGTGCACAAATAGGACTTTTTCAACAAAAATTGTAACTGCAATGGATTTAGTGTATGGTAATGATCAGGGGCGGATACAGGCCTCTTGAAAGGGGGGGGGGGGGGGGGGAGTTTAAGTTAAAGTAAACCAGATTGGGCTAGTTTGGGTTAGTTTTGGCAGCGCATTGTGCAAGATACGGTTTTTCGAAGGAATGGCCCATAAATATCTGGGAATATGGGAATATGGGGAAACTATTTAGGAGAATAAGGTGATTTTAATTTAAATAGGTAGGTACGTACTTGAGCAATAACCTATTATATAAAGTCAGAATTTGTAAGATTATCCACTTTTTGTCAATTTACCTTTTTACAGGAATTAGTAATGTTACTTCACCAAACTAGTAACATAATGTGACAAGTTATTCAAGTACAAACAGTGAATTGTTGCGGAATTTATGGGTGGACCTCATCTATTCATTACGTTGTTCAAGTGCGATACTAACCTGACTCACTCAAATGTCAGTTATTCTCATTAGTTCAAAAACTACAAACTTTAGGTGAGTGTCTTATTTGAATAGTTCAACAGTATATTGGTGAGTAGAGATGGCTGGGTGGACCACTGCGGGACGAGCGCAGCGAGTTCCGCAGCTATTTATTCATCAATATGTTGTTTATTCACGATACTAAACTAACTCACTCAAATGTACGTTATTTTCATTAGTTTAAAAATTACACGTTTCAGGTAAATGTCTTACTTGAACAGTTCAACAGTATTATTGGTGATTAGATGGATGCGGAACTCGCTGCGCTCGTTGTGCAGAGGTCCACTCATAAGTTCCGCAACAATCCACTTTATTTGTACAGGGTGTTTTTTTTTATATAGACACCCCACCTACAGCCTTCACCTTCACAGGTAGAAGAAAGGTGTAAATACAAAAGTTGTACAGTTTTGGCTGAATTTTTAGAAACCATGGTCAGAAACAAAATTTGAATGTCAGAAATGTGAAATTTTGCATAATTCCAGCTTTTCTCAAATAGGATACCCTATATTTAATTCTATATTCTTGAAGACCACAATGCCCCGATCTATATTTGATTGAGCAATCTCTCATATATTTGGCTTCAAAAATTGTAAAAATACTATCCTACGACTGATTTTGTGAACCATTCTCTGTACAGGGGAAAGCTGCAGGTAAAATTTGAGGTAGGTACCTACTTTGGTTAGAACCAAATATGTTGGAGATGGCTCAACCAAATATAGACAAACTATATAGTTTTGGAATCGGTATATTGTGTTTTTCAAGAATAGAGAACCAAATATAGCGCATCCCAATTGAAAAAAGCTGAAAGCATGCAATATTTCACATTTCTGACATTCAATTTTTGTTTTTGACCATGGACTTTAAAAATGTAGGCAATATACTCTGTACAGGGTGATCTATTATAAATGTCACCCCCTGCTAACTTTCTCATTTGACGTTTTTGACAGAAGTGTCAAATACACAAGTTTCAAGAAATTATGAAAAGTTTTCAACTAAGTCAGTTTTAGGCATACAGGGTGCATCAAAAAAGTGCAGCAGTGTGAAGTTACATTTTTTTAAATGGAACACCCTGTATATTGTGTGCTTATTTGTTAGTTCCGTTTGATCTGATTTCAACCATATACGGTTTGATATGTTTATCTCTCGGTTTATCTTAAATAGTTATAGGGAAAAACGCGAAAATCCCTTCCTAGGTCTCTCATGTTATTTTATAAAAAATAATAATGTTAACTTTAGACATCTGGATTTATCATAATATTTCACCTTGTATATTAATAAATAAAATTTGAACAATAATTTGTTCTTAAAAAAAAATTCTCTAAAACTTAAATGGTATAATTTTTCTTTTTTCAATATGAAACATTGGAAAGGGTTTTCATGTTTTTCCCTATAACTATTAAAGATAGACATATCAAACTGTATATCGTTGAAATCAGGTTTAAAGCGACTAACAAATAAGCGCACAAAATACAGGGTGTTCCATTTAAAAAAATATAACTTCATGCTGCTGCACTTTTTTGACACACCCTGTATGCCTGAAATTGACTTAAAGTCAGTGGCGGCTCTTCCTTAGGTTTGCAGGTTTGCGCAACCCCCAAAACAAAACTTAAAAAACATGAAACAAAAATAGTAGAACTAAATTTTAGTACCTAATTATATTTAAAAAATAAATTATACCAAAATTTGGGACCTACATAATACGCAGTCAATTAATAAAATAATTTGACCAACTTCACCAAAATATCAATAACTGATAGGCCGCCGGCGACTTCGAGTAGCGGCGTCGAGTCGCTGGATTGCAGCTCCAAAGCAAACCGATCTATTATATGACTGCGCACATTTGGTTGCCTGTCTTTGCGTGGATTCGAAATCCGCTCCATAAGCTCCAGCAGGTTGCAAGCTAAGTGCAAACTTTGTTTATTTTTTTTGCTCGCAGCGCAGGTTAGGTTTGTTTTGTGAAGTTTTGTCGTGTGGGTGGTGAAAAAAAAGAATTCTGTTCAAAATTTAATTGCGGAGCCATTCTGTGGGCGTTCATCAACCGATAAGGCTGGAATAAAAATACTTTGAAGGCCTACTCCAAATTTAAAAATTGAACAAACTGTAACTAGCAAAAAAAGGACTTTCACCAGGACATTTATCCTGGACCTTCACGAAACACATGCATGATTGTACAATTGAAATTGCAACCCCCACATTTTTAATATACGAGCCGCCACTGCTTAAAGTGTTTTTTCTCGAGCCCAGCGGTTAGAAATAATTTTGAAATCTGTTTTGAACCCGTTTGAAAATAACGTGATTACTTTCATTCGAGAAAAAATGATTTTTTCAAACCAGAAGAATTTAACCATACATAACCTAGAATTTTTGTTTGGTTTTTTTTCTGGTTATTAGCCGCCTATTTTCTATTTTTCAAAAAATGTAAGAGTGTTCTGTTTATGATTCTATAATCCCCTACAAAAGACACAACACAAATATAAATATAAATAACAAACTGTCAACTTTCCTAAACTACTGCGCATGCGTTTGTTTTTGAACCGATGCGAAATCTCGTTTCAAAATATTTTCAAACAGTTTTGTTATGACGTCATTAGTTCAACGCGAAAATGTAATGTTTTGAATTAGGTTCAACCAATTTAACCGAGAAAAAACACCTTTTAGTTAAAAACTTTCGATAATTTCTTGAAACTTTTGTATCTGACACTTTTGTCAAAAATGTCAAATGAAAAAGTTAGAAGGGGGTTACATTTATAATAGATCACCCTGTACAACTTTTGTATTTACACCTTTTTTCTACCTGTAAAGGTAAAGGCTGTAGGCGGGATGTCAATATATAAAAAAAAACACGCTGTACATAATCTTATTGATTTTGTATGAATAGGCATTGATTTATTAGAACAAAAAAAAAACAATCCATCAACTCAACCACTAATGCGATATACTGTTTGAGGTTAAAGTTCTGAGGTAAAGGTCCTGCCCCCCCCCCCCTCTATATCCGCCACTAGTAATGATGTTTTTCAAAAAATGAGAGTTGGATGTTTCCATTAAAGTACAATTTATAAAACTTCTAAAATAGGTAATGTAAACCTAATTTGAGTAGGGTAAAAACACAGCCATTCAGACCACTACCACAGCATATACAAAAACAATCAGCAGGCTAACTCTCACGCGCATCTTTTCTGCGCACGCCGCCATTAGGGGATACGATTCTGACATAACGCTGTCATTAAACGGCAGGGGCGCCGAAATTTCATTTTATTTGTTTATTTCTGATGGAGGTCATAGGCGTGCGGTGTAGAGCGAAATTTTAGCTATGATTTTCAAAATGATTTTAGTATATTCGTGTTGTCATTTATGGTTTTATCTATTATCATTCTTGTATATTCAATAATAATAATGAATTAGTAATTATAAATATTATTTATATCTAAGTAAAAATAAATAAGTTTATTTAAAGCCAATACGACTCTGTGAGACGAAAGAAAAAACCTAACTTATCGTTAATCAGGCCCTGTCTCGTATCCCAAAATGGCCGCTAGAGACATCCCGACCATGAATTCCTTTATTACACGGGCTGTCACTCGAGTTAGCCTGCTGATTGTTTTTGTATATGCTGTGCCACTACTCTACTGTAAAACCACCCTCCAGCACTGTTGTCAGACCACTAAACACTTCCCACCTCCACTGTAAGCCCCCCATTAATCCATTTTCAAAAACCAACCGTGAAATCCCCTCTTATATTAGAGATGTTTTCTTCAATATCCCTCCACTTTTTCTGATGGGGCTCAAAGTGGAGGATTTTGAGGGTAGGGAGCTTTTGAACATGAATGAATGGGCCGTTTCACGGAAGGAGGCTTACCTGTGGCAGTAGACGTGTTGCCAACGGGAAATTATCAAAATGCTCACATTATGCTCACATATGTACTAAAAATAACGTCAATGTCAAAATGTCAATGGAGAGTTATTGAAATTATAAAATACTGCCTCGCAGTATTAAGGATCTACATTATTTTATTAGTGCGTCAGCACCATTTTTCCAAGAAAAAAAAAACAGTTATTGGAAGACTGTAGTAAGTGCTAGAGTATTACCTTATTTTGTATTCATAATTTTGACAGATGATAGCTATGTTTAAAAATTTCAGCCTCAAAAAGCGTTTATTTTTGTTTGTGATTTTCTGCTGATACTCATTTTTTTGATGTTACCCCCAGTAAAATGGAAAATTACTGTAAAAAATAAATTTTCTAAGTAAAATTATTACGTCAACGTCGAAAAGCAAAACGTTAAAGTCGTCCAAAATGTCAGAAATTTGAAATAAGGGAAGTTTACTGCCTCATTTTCGGACCCAAATGCGCATGCGTAGATGTCAAAATAAGGCTAATTTAAATATTGCTTGTCCTTATTGC